GGAACAAAAGAGCTATATACGTAAGCGTTTCTTTCTGATAAGTCAGATTCAGTCAATCTGTGGGGGACACACGATTGGCTTTAAAGCACTTTGATGTATGGAATTTTTTGGAGGTATCAGAGTAGGTTGCAGCTTTGTTCTGAATGCAGGTCCTTGGTCACCACCGAACTGAAAGTGATCGAGAAAGAACTCACACTGAAATATTCCTCGAGTGCCGTTGTCTTGCGAAAGTCGCGGTGCCAATACGAGTTCATTTCTGCCATTGATATGAAAAAACCTAAACTGCTTTACAAACCACCAGATGGCATTGAATTTCGGAAAGGGTCTATTGAAGCTGTCGCACTCGGTCGGACTCAACGCAAGTGTGTCCAATATTGCCCACCTTTTACTTTCCTATATACTTTCCACTTTTTGCTTTGCTTAACTTGGATCCAATTTGCAGCTTAGAAGAAGGGAGCGCTATGAGGATTAGTTTTTTCCCTGCAGAAAAACGAGGTTGTAAGTCGGCCTTTAAGGGCGATTCACACACATGCATTGAGTCCGACCAAGTGCGAGGGTTGCTATGGCAACAGCTGCGTCCGCTCCGACAAAACGGGGGTGAAAACCGGTTGTGTAGGAGCCGATGCAGCTGCTGCCATAGCAACCCTCGCATTCGGTCGGACTCAACGCAAGTGTGTCCAATTTCGCTCACCTCCTCCTTTCCTATATAGTCTCCACTTTATACTTTGCCCAACTTGGATCCACCATGCAGCTTAGAAGAAGGGAGCGCTAAGAGGATTAGTTTCTTCCCTTAAGAAAACCCAGGTTCTACGTCCGCCTTTAAAGGGATACTACAACGAAATTTCGGCGCTCATTTTTTGGTCTATATGTGTTCAAAGGAGAAGCATCACATGGAACATACCAATATCTTGTTAAAAAAGTCTCGAAAAGGAATTTTAAAACGAATTAAACGATTAGCAAAGAGCACCTGGTGGATGTCGCTAACGCCTCGTTTGTAATGCTCGTCTAGGAACCTTGACAGCTAGTGACGGAGGTTGTCTCGTCTCCGGCCACGACGAGAGAAGGGGGGAAGGAGGAACTCCCCTTTTCCCGAGAATCCCTTTCGTGTGTCACAGAAGTCGCTATTGTCCCCCTAGAAGATTATAGAAGATTAACCCGTCACTCAAAATTCGTACAAAAGCAGCCGCTTCGGTGGCTGGAACGACTAGGCCATCCTCTCGACATCAGCCTCGCCGTAGCTTTGCTCGTCTTGAGACGACCTACGTCACGATTGCGTTGGTTGTCACGTGCTCTAAGCTGGGCCTTCTCCGAGCGCTTGCCAGAGTGGGCCGTTTATAACGAAAAATACAGCCACCAGGATCAAAATAAAAATGTGCGATTGTCATTTACGGATATTGTGGATCATATTCAACCTATTTTTGAACATGACGGGAATATTTCAGATTTCGTTGAAGTATCCCTTTAAGGGCGATTCATACACTTGAGTTGAGTCCGACCATGTTCGAGGGTTGCTATGACAACAGCTGCGTCTGTTCCGACAAAGCGGGGGTAAAAACCGTTTTTGTAGTAGCCGACGCAGCTGCTGCTATAGCAACCCTCGCACGCGGTCGGACTCAACGCAAGTGTGTGTATCGTCTTTTAACGAGCGCCGTCAGCGGAGTTGTCTTGCCTCCGCGAACTTGCTTGGGTCTGTCAGAGTACATTGGCATCGTACGGTTTTATGGGGTATACGCCTGCGCAAAAGCCCATCGCTTACGAAAAGCCCATCTGGATTTTTTTGGCTCGACACGCAGGAGCGCGGCACCTAGCGCGGAAAGGCACACCTGTCATGGTTTAGGGCTTTTTCCCTCGCTCCTCCGCACCGTCCACGTCCGCCGACCCTTTTTTTTTTTTTTTTTATAACACCTGGTTGAGGTCGGTCCGACCATGATGACTCCTGTAAAGTGTTTGGTACTACCGACGTTGTCAACCCTCTCAAAGCAGCCGACTTCTACAACTCCAACCGCTCGTCGTGCCGCTCGATGGCGTGGGCACACGGTGTCGAATGGTCAGGGGATAAACTTGGTTGTTTCTCTGTATTGCTTCACAGCAGAGGTGACGAACGGTGAACTGCGGTGGCGACCGCAGCGCTTCTGCGTTCGTCCGAAAAATAATCGAAAAAAAGTAATACGTACCTCTCTATGTTTAAACGTCTCCCGAGCGTTAGTCTATAGTGCCTTCATGATGATTGTGAAGAAGCAAGAAACTCCCTCATATCAAAGAATACTCGAAAACGTATATGCCTTCGGAGCTAAAATAATATTCAAAAAAGTGTTTTTTTTTTCTATTTTATCTTACTTTACTGCAGATGTTTAATCTCGAGCAGAAAATATACATTGCTGCGTTTATTACAAAAAAAAAGTAGGGTTTTTTTGTTGTTGTTTTTTTTTTTGCGATTACCGTCCTCTATTTTTCCGTTGCTGAACTACGTATAACATTGCGTACCGCGCTTCGCCAGCTACCGCAGGATGTTATATACGATTTAATCTTGCTGTGAATGAGTCGACAACACAAGATTATGGCCTAGACTTCAGAAGGTATGTAAGATAATCACATTTGTTACGTTTTTGCCGGAAATGAAGGTAGTTGAAACCCAGTCCGTCTTCAGCAAATGTCAAGTTGACACAGTAAGACTATTGCAGTCATATTCATTGCTGCACGTGCGTGCTTTACTCGTCGTGGTCTAGTATCTCAACTAAATTAGGGCACTTTAATCACGTAGGCAATTTGGCAAGCGAAAACCTTAACGATCAGCGACGGCCCGGGCTGGGCCGTCGGGGCGGATTTCTTGCAGTTGCTCGTCGCACCGCTCGGTTGTAGCAGATTTCTAGCAAACGTTGCTCGTCGCCTGGGAGTCGCTCGCATGTGGTCTTGTTTCTCGCTTCATGTTGGCACTTTAATCATGTAGGCCATTTGGCAAGCGAAAAACTTGGCGATCAGCGACGGGCTGGACCGTCACTAAGGAGGGTTGCTTCCTGCTGCTCTTCGCACCCCTTAATTGTAGCAGATCTCTAGTAAACTTCACTCGTCGCCCGGGAATCGCTCGCAAGCGGTCTTTAGCGCTGCGCATCTTCGCTCATCAGAAAAATATCGTGTTCCATGTTGGTTGCACTGGAATGAGTTACAGTAGACAACCCACGTGTTGGATAAAAAGTCTTGCTCAATAGAGTAGTCCCTAATTTGGGAGCGCGGCCCGAGAAAAAGTGCTGCTAGTCCCTCTTAAGGATGGTTTGCTCAGGGAGGGAGAGATAATAGACTTTATTGAGGCCATTAAATCTTACTTCGGGTGTTCGCCCTGGGGAGGTCCGCTAGAATTATCAGCTCGCACTGACCCTCCGTGTCTGAGGCTCTGATGGCCATCTCTCGGGGGTTGTTGCTCGAGTTATTCAGTATGAATCGGTGCATCGAAAGCGTCACCAAGCACGGACAGTCCGTGTGCTTCAGCGGGGCATGTTCAGTGCACGCGGCGTAATTCGAGACCTCAATGTTGCCACTGCCGTTTTTGCAACCCCCTAAGAGCACGTCTTGGCGGTTGGACGCCGTTTACGCAGTTTACGCGTCTAACTGCGGTCGCTCATCGCCACACAAACACCCGCAAGCGAGGTAACCGGGTGCCGGCTCAGACCGAAATACAAGCCGGCCATGGTGGCCTGGGAAGCGAGCCGACTGGTAGCGGCTGGGGTAACTGACGCGCTGAAAGCGTCTATAAATCTGACTAGACCATTTCTTTATGTGTAATAGTTTAAAATTAATGGAATGGATATAAATATAAAGATCTAGTTCAAAATGTTTGTTTTTTTCAGTCCTGAGTTATATATGAACCATAATATTGTATTACGCTTTCTTCCAGGGACATTAACATTGGAAATTTCAAGGAGCTGTAACAAGAGGCGCAAAATTTCTACAATAGACACTTGAACTCTACCTTATATACTTCTGTCTCTTGTACAGACTAAATATTTTTTTTTTCAGAAATGCTCTCAAAGCTTCTTTTTTTTCAAGTATTTTTTTGTATTGCTGGTTTGCGCATTCCCTTTAGTTAATGAGTTCTATTTGTCCATGCGTTTGTATAGTCTGATTTGATATTTGACGCACTCAAAATATTTTGACAGCTCAGGCTCCGGCTTCACCTTGCCGTTCTACTGATGTAAACAGGATTAATGCATGACACAAACAGCAAAAGTGTTCACTCCCACGAGATGCTACCAGAATTGTTTCAATATACGGACTGTGTCTGTAAAATCTGCTTGAAATAAAAGAATATAATTCACACAAATTTGAAAAAAGGGGTGAGAATTAAATGAGTGCCGCCTTCACAATGTATTTAGGAGGCTCGGCGGACATTGGATGAGAGACAAATAGTCATGGTAACTGGCTTTATGGATCAAATAAGAATTTCATCATTGACGAAAAATACTATTAGAGGCCAAACCAATTTAAATAACTTGTGAAACTGCAATGCTTTTTAAAATATTAATTATTAACCGATCTCTTGTTACTGTTTTTTTTTTGTTGTTGTTTTTTTTTTTGTCCCCGATTCGAAAATTCCACTTAGAAAGAGCGTCGCAAACCCTGCCCATAATGACGCCTGGAAAAGTGACGTAATTGTTTCAATCAAGGCGTCACAATCTTGCTGGCGTGTCCTTGGTCAATGCGCTGACGACTCTAGTGATGACATGACTGGATCAACTACTTTACCTTCTAAGCTTCCAAGTAGTAAGCAGGGCTTCCGGCAATTGTTTTTTATGCGCAAATTTTAAATTGGGCAAAAAACGGGAAAAATTGATTGATTAATATTTCAAAATTATTTTTTCTGTGAGTTCAACAACAATTGCTCCTCAGAAACGAAAGTTTATTTTTGAGAACAAAGCTGTTTGATATACTTTGATGTGCTTAAAACACAAAGGTGTGGTACAAATTTTCGAGGCATGTTGAAATACAGAGAACGTGAATGTGTTTGATTAACTCCCAGTAACTTGAAGAGGTTTTTCCTTGGGCTCTCTTTTTTTGTAATCTTCATAGGCTGGAATATGGGAGAAAAAAATTGGAATAGCTCCATCATGTGTTTCCTCATATTCAAATATTGTAAGTCAATGTAAAATAGCCGCTGAAAACGTTGAATGTCATCTGGCCTGTTCATTACGAGCAGCATAGTGAAAGTGGTATTTAGTTTGAGGAGTGTAATGCTCATTACAAATTAATATGATTATTTTATATGTTTAATATTTTAACGGCGCATGAATTTTATAATGTTACATAAAATCGTCACCCGATTCATAAAAGTCGTGATATAAAAATTGTGAACCAGACACTGACGATTTAACGTACGCGTACAACATGAGCAAGCGTTTTATTAATCTTGCCTAGTAATTACTTAACTAGCACAAAACATTTGTAAGAACTTTGGTCTGAACTAACTATAAGCTTCCTATTTGAACAAATACTCTTGAATATAAAAAAAATTTTATAGTAAGCGCTTTTTCTATTCTAAGCTATATTTAGCTAAGAATTTATTGGAGCAATTTTCTAGATCATTGCTGCCCGGTATGTACTCACATTCTTCAAACTGGTTCACGACTAGTTCTGTGTGAACGTTCACTTTGGTACCACATTTTGTGTCCACACACTCTCCATTTTGACACACTCCAGGGGTGATGGTCACATCATTCTGATCTGTGAAGCTTTGTGAGAACTGAGCAGAGACACGTGACTGAGTGATAATTCAAGCACAGGGTTATAAATTCAGATAAAAATAATATAAAACGGAACTATCAGATGTGCCATGAACAACCTTGTATATTTTGAAGGTACTAACACCGCCAAAGCGTGAAGAAGTTAGTGTCCACACTCTGTCTTTTGATATGTCTGTCAAAGAAACTCAAGCACCTGCGTCACTCTCGCCTAGGAATAACCACTGTGATTGTTTGAGGTGCCTAATAAAAATTAAAAAATGTCCATATTTTATTCAAGATATCTCTAACAAGGTTTGAAAATACCTTTTGCAGCGTTCCCAGCGTTTAACGCGGCCACGTATACCTCGTTTCACGATAACTCGGCGAACAGTGGAGGCTACGGCCCCTGCGACCCAGTAAGAGCGTCGGAGCGAGGCACGTGATATCACGTCACGGGAGCGTGCGTGTCACTGCGTTAAATGCGAGGGCCGAAAAAAACCGGCTGTCGTCTCCTGGCCAAGAGTTGTGTGCTGCGAAACCAACCATCTTCGGAATGAACGTACACCGCAGCAACACATCCGTCCGTCATATTAGATAGCACTTCGGGAACAGTTCATGAGACAACCATACGCTCCATTTGGCCGCAAATCTGTGACGGTGCTAATGCCAGTGGCCAGTGCGATGTTTTGAGCGGAAGCGGTCGATTACATGGCTGCGATCGCCAACGGCCACGATGCTACAAGGAGGAACTATCGGGAGCGGATACGGATGTGGCGTCACTTTCTTGGTTAACATATAATTGAAACTCATGTAATGTAGTAAATATCTATTCTTTATGTGTTTCTATATTCTCGATAAATATGGATGCGCGAGTTCAATTGTTGTTAAAAGAAAAAGAAACTTAAAACAACTTTTTTGGTCGCTAATGACGCTGTTGCTGTGGCTGTAACGAGGCCTCCGTTGCTTCCGTGTCCACGATCATGGAGTCTTACCACGTTCCTTGCTCCGAAGCTTTTATAGACCTATTTATAAATTACCAAAGCATTAAGGAGAATGCGGGGATTGGTATTCCACGCGCGGCACGTGCTCGCTTCAGCAGTAGTAACTCTTCTAAAGCAATTTCCTAAAACGAATTGCACCTTGCATGCGCGTTCGCCAACGCTCAGTTTCGGTTACTTCGAATCTTTAATAGGGAGTATTCCCGGGCAGCCATATCTGTGTGCGTGAATTTTGAGCGTGTGCTGATGGCGAGCTTCCACAGTTCTTATGCAACGTGCATTCCGCACCATCGAGAGTGCCGGTCTTAGCAGCCTATTGATGTGAGCACCCACAAATATGGCATCCAGTGAATACTCCCTAATATGGGGAAGCCGTGTGCGTGTGGCGCATGGAACACCAATCCCTGACTTCTCCTTGATGCTGAGGTAATTTAGCAACAGGTGTCCGTAGCTTCCACAGTTCGCAAAGTTGTCGCGAAACGGAGTATAGGAGATTTGAATAAATTAGAAAAAGAACTGCCTCATATGCTTTAGCTGTTCCCTTTTGTATTACAATCCAGATGATGCTGCTGCTGCAGCTGATGATGATGATCGTGATGGAGATAATGACGGTGGTTATGATGGCAAAAACTATCGTACAATCATTTCCACAGTTACTTCCTGGCCATTAATTATTACACTTCACAAGTGTAATGCAACGCAGAACAAATGATTTGACTGTGAATCACGGATGTACGGCCCTTGGGAAAGGGCAAATTGACCAGTAGAAATTTCGTCTGTGGCTCGGGTCAGACAGTGTGTACAGGCGGCGACTCGCTTTCTTAAAGAGGCTATCGCCACGACTGCTGTGGTACCGTCGACAGAGGCTCTCGTTCGGTGTAGAACAGAGCTTTTAGGTGTCTAAGCATCGCGTGTTTCCACACGGTGGCTCTGTCGCTTGGCTGAAGAGTCAGCGGTGTTCAATGAGGCCGGAAAGGGTGAAGACAGGGTGAGAGAGTCACGCACAAAAGGTTGTAATAAAGCAAATTCTAAATGCTCTTTTCTACGCATTTAAAAAGTAAAACAGAAGCAGAAAGACGTCTACCCTAGGCGCCGGCACTTTGCTCGGACGAAACAAATTTCGAGTAATTGTTTTATTTTGTCGCGTACATTGTGGGGCCCCACCTCCGCACATGGTCGAACCCGCTGTAATGTTCACAAAATAGAGTCATTTTTTTGCGAAACGTACCTGTATCTATGCAGACACTTCTTAGTTGCTTTTTCAAAAAAATATTTAAGTTATCGTTACAGTTACTTAAAAATAATTAATCCAGTTACAGTTAAAAGTTACAAAAAATATAACAAGTTACTGTATAGCCATACTACCCAAGACTGCTGCTGTTTCTCGGTGGGTTAAAAAGCTAACAAATGAAGTTTTTTTGACGTGTGATCGAAAACATTTATTCAGGCGAAAAAGAAGCCGGCCCGTAGCACACGACGCGTAGCTTCAACAGTGCTTTGTACCGAAAGCGTGTTGCGTCAAAATGGCGGTCGTCTCCTCTTTGTTCCCTCCTTCCTCTCTCCTTTTTTCGGCGCACTCTTCCCTCTCCTCCACTTTTCTCCTCTCCATCACCTTTGTCGCCACATCCACTGGCCAGACTCTCCAAATATAAAATTCTGCGTTTTCCCAGTAACGAGCGCCATCTGGCAGTTTTTCTGAGAACTATATATTGGGAGCACCTCAAAACAGACAAATAATCGCTCTTGCTTGTTGTCTTGACCTTAGGGTGTTCTTGTGCACTATTTCGCTTAGCAAGTCTTTTTCGGTCACAATTTGATTAGCGTGATTTTTTTGGCACCTAAGTGCCACGTCGCGTGTTAGGGCTCAGCTCTTAGGCACCCGTTTCCGGCTTAAGCGGTGTCGCGGTCGCCGTCGCAGTCGGTGTAGCCGCGCTTTGCATTATGGGACGTTTCCCATAATGACGTCACGAGTGACGTCACGAAGGTCACTCGTGAAGGTGACGACCTTCACGAGGCCCTCATAAGTGACGTCACGAGGGAGGAAGGACGGAGAGGGAGGGAGGGAGAGATGGGTGGAGGAAAAGGGGAGGAGGAGGATAGAGGAGGAGGAGAGGAAGGAAAAGGGGGAGGAAAAGAGGAGGATGAGAAAAGGGGAGGAGAACGAGGGGAGAAGGAGGGGAGGAGGAGAGGGTACGAAGGAAGAGGGGGCATACACTCCTCTCCGTACTCTCCCCTCCTCCTCCTTCCCAAGAGTTGCGCTCTCATTCAGCATTACAGGGGATTGTAAACGTCTTTCATATTTTTCCTCTCCAGCTTTTCACAAGCCACGCGCTTGCCAATAACTGAATGATTTTTATCGTTCGTTTTTAACTATAGTTTTTTGCCTTTATAATTGTTTTGCCCTAACGAAGTATTTATTTAGTGGTCCTTTTTTATTTCGTTAGTATTTGCGTCAACATCTATATCTGGGACGTTTTTACGCCCCACTCTAAAACATAAAAATAAGTCCTGAGGTTAAAAAAAAAAAAGAAAAGCGTGCGGTAACAAAAACAACCACAATGGCTGATGGTGGGTGTTTTTAGGGCCTACCGCACCCGAAATGTTTCCTTGCGCTCTCTTCTTTTGGGAAGTGTCTCTCAAAGCTAAGGACATTATTGGTTGATTATCCACACGCATTTTTCTTCGGCTCTCAGGTCGAACCTCGGGATTCACCAGACGGACAGCCGGGATCTTCTAATTTCGTTGTTGATCGGCGTCTATCTTGGATTACAAGATGGGAAAAGTAATATATTACCGGGTTTTTTTTTTTTTTTTTTTTAAATGAATTGCGGAGCAAGAGAACGGTATCAGTGCATGATATCGCTGCGTACCGTGCCTCGAATCCCGTTGAACGCGAAAAGCCATTACTCTGCTGACGCTTCGCCCTGTCACCAATGATACTGGACCATATGGACAAAAACAAGTCAGCCGCGCAGCCCCGGCAAACTGCAAAGAAACACACTAAACAACGCGATTTAAACTAAATTTGGCTACTTAGCGGCTACTCTTATCACGGCGTGGCTGCCCTTCGGTAATGGCGGCAGGACACTGCGAGCGAGAGTAGGAGAATGCGTGGAAAGCTTCTGAAAAAAAGGTCCATTGGCAGCTCCATCTCAATCGAAGATGTCGTTTGCAACGAGTAAAAAGCCACTAATTCAGGAAAATGGCTTCTAATTAGTTCTAATGCCTACGCGACGCAAATAAAACGTGTGTACATAATTGTTCTTTTACTTACAACGCATGGCGTTCCATTTTCCCGCAGCTTGACTATTGTTTTGTTACAATAAAGGCTGCACTGGGTAGAAAGAAATACCTGCGAAAGTACGAAAAGCATTAATCTGCAGTGACAAATTTAGTTTATCTTCACGTCTCGAAATCCCTGAATAAAGTTTATCGATGTATTTTTAGACTCCGAAGGAGTAAAAGCGGAATAAATTTCTGAAACATGAGGGTGGGGGAAAGGGGAGGGGGAGGGTGGGTGGCATTAGGGTGCGAAGGCGAGTACCGACTTGTTCGCTTCAGGCACCGGCGATTTCACCCAAAGGCCGCTTTTCCCGGGGGTTAATAACCCCAGACGCATAACCCAGGCTCAGAAGAATCGCCGATCACTTCAGTAAACGCACGCAAGGACATGCCACCCCAAGTCATGCAGTGAAACTGCCACGTGCTGTCCATTAAATCCAGCTAACCAAACAAAAGTTTCGCAAGTTTCAGAAAGCCTATGGCACTTCTACTGTAAGAGACGGATGGCAGAGACCGCAAATTACACGGATACAACGGACAAGCAGCGCCCATTATCAAGTGCAAATCGAGGGGCAGGCCGAAGGCGGGTACGATGGCAGAAGCAACAGCCAAAAGCCGGATGTAATCAGACAGGATGCAGATCACAAACTATGTCCCACCCACAAAGAACGTAGAGATGCAACACCCCGGCAGACCGCGATACAGCGCAAAGCCACAACAAGGTTTTGTGAAAAGTCGACGGGACCAGATGAACCTGTACGTTCACATAGGTGCAACGTGCGGTATGAAAAATCAATAAACAGTCGCGTGGCACACCCGCACTTCCTCAACGCCGAAGACACACAAACAAGACCCCTCCAACGCTCACATAGCGCCACGGAAACTGAACTAGCAGCCCTGGCGGCAGGGACTATTCATGCAATCGAGTCCACCAATGCCCACCAGAAGCCCTGCTTCACATGTATGACTGACAGCAAAGAAGTATTCTCGGAATGCGTAAAGTGTGACACGACCAACCACACAACACTAAGACTACAAACACTAGCCTGTTAACTTCATTCGGAAACTCGCCGTCTGAGACTTTGCTGGATCCCAGGCCATTCCGGCCTCCCAGGCAATGTGGCTGCACACAATGCCGCAGGAGCGACACTGGAGTCCCGTCCTACCAGCCCAAGTTAGGAACAACAAGAGCAAGGTTAGCGAGGTGCGTCTTACACCAAGCCCTCCTTCATTCCGGAGATGTTCCCTGGCAAGGAAACGAAGTAGTTAAGGTCTCAGGCTCTGATACCGCAAGAAATGCAAGACCCCACCCCGGCTCGTGCAACCGGTGAGACAGCATAGAGGCTGCGACGGATCAGAACCAACACGGCCATAACACCGGCCATGCATGGGAAAAGGCAGGTATCCAAAACATCCGGCACCGAATACAAGATAACGACTCCGGCGCAACACTTACCGGAAAGTGCAGCAAGTGCAAGTCGGGCGAATAGGCAAACACAAGAGACTATCTATATGACTGCCGTGATCATATTATTTTCTTTTTTTATAATAGACCTTTCTTTTAAAAGTAAACGCGGACAATAATAGAAAATCTTCAATAACAAGACTAAAATAAAACGGTTGCATAACGACGGCGTTCTTGCTGCCGACGGATTTCGTCTGCGTGTCGTCTGCTTTCTTTCGCTGGTCGGCTACACCTTCCGACGCTGTCCCAAAACTTTTTGACACGTTTTGTGGAAAACTGACATAATACGTAAACAGTATGTTCATTTTAATAAACCATTATCGTCGCGAAAAATTTCAATTTTTTTTTTTATTATTGCAAGTTTGGACAAGGAGGTAACACCATCTATCAATACGAGCACCAAACGCGCACCGCCACTCGGCTTAGTCGACTAAATCGTACTTTTAAAGACTGAATATTTGCGTAGCTGTGAGTGTGATCGCCTGTGACAACCGTGCAGCCTTCGAAATTTGCAGCAATTAAAGCTCTTTTACTATCAAAAAAAGGCGAACATTGAATTTCCCTGGAACGAATAAAACTACAAACAACATATGATGGGCCCATGATTTTGCGTGCAGTTATATACAGGTTAACACGTTACTTATGAGAGGTCATGGACTTTCTTTTGTCTGAGACTTTTTTGATGCAAGTGACAATATATCGGTGATAATCTTAAGGGAAATGTATTTTTATAATGTTTATTTTGAGCCAAATGTTCCGCAATAAGCGCTAAAATCTCTTGAATCGATATATTTTCTTTCGCGTTTATTTCAGTGGTGCTCTAACGTTCTGTGTATGTTTTCACGATTGTGTAAATTGGATCAGTATGCTACTTATGTTGTATAGCGTTAGTTCTTTTTTTTTGTAAAGTTTCTGAAACATCTAGTACACATGTCATGTTTTATTTTTGTATAATTTATTTGGTGCCTGCACCGCGACTGCTGCTATAGGTGGCTCGGGCTCGTCAAGCTGTTTTTACAGCATTTTCCCGTGTCACCGTTTCAACATTGTTTTTTTTTTCTTTTTGAAAAAATAAAGGTAGTATTAATATTATTGGCATGTATTTGTGCCCCTACAATGTTCATAAATTGTATTTGTTTTGTTTTATTCGTTTTTTGATTCAGTAGAATGTTTTGCGGCTGAGGTAAAATGCGTACAAACCATCCTCCAATACCTAACAGCTAGGCTGCTGGGTATTTCAGAATTTCTCTGGTGAAATCTACTATAGTCACTGACAAAGTGAAAACGGCAAAAAGAATTTTTAGTTGTTCCACCTCCCAACGCAAGCTTTTTATCTTCCATAACGCCTCAACGTCCCGTGCACCTCGAACGCGCGCGCGCAGCCAAAGCATGGCGGAAGGCATAGAGCACGTGCTGGAGGCCGCGGGCGATCGAAAATCACGCTCTTACGTTCCCTTTTTGTCTGTGACGATATATTTTCTTATGAAACAACAGCTTTTTGCGTTAAACAAATTATTTTGCGTTTCTGTATATGACAAATAATTATGCAGTAACTCATTACACACAGACCGAAATCAGGCGAGGAAATACATAAAAAGGGGTGTAACCCATTCGACTAATTTCGAGAAAAAATTAGCACAATGATAATAATCATAATCGTGAAGTTTAATTGTTACAAACAGCCTAGGAGCTGTCTTACGAGGCCAATAGCTATTGCCTTTCAGGTCGTCGAATTTTTGCACTAAATTATGATGTTATTTTGAGAGCGACTTACTTACCTTGTTATTTTCATCCTGGATATTTGTGAACTGACATTCGAAAGGCCATTTTCTCAATTCGTTAGCTATAAAATTGTTAAAAATAATTATTTGAGTTTGTGTTTTAACAAACGTAATATTACAAAGAACATTTGCCCGTTATTTTGAAAAAAGTATTTTTATTGTCATTTTTGATAAATATAAAAGCTTTATAACATCCTTTGTCCGAAATTCCTGCAGGAATTTATAGTATATAGTTACAAAACTGCATAAAACAAATGTTTTAGGCGATACAACATTTGGGGCCAGGTATCTTCATACCAATATTTTAAGACGCCAGGAACATTGTAGTTCTGATAATTCAGATATTTATAAAGGTAACTTAAACCGCTCTGTACCACCTGCAGCATTTATCCAAATTGTCTATTCATAAAGTTGTTAGCCCTTCGGTTCAAGCTAGAATAACGATGCTCTGGATATTAAGGTATCTTGTTCACCGCATTTTTTAATATAATGATCCATTGCAACAGCACCAGCGCCACCCGCAGACCCCGCCCGGGAAGGACCGGCGACACCTACTGCAGCAACGCCGGTTCCGTCTACGACAGCGGAGAAGCAACCCCTTCGACGAACTTCTCGCGCATGCAAGCCGCCTGACCGTTTTAAACCCGAGGACTTCAGGAAATGAACATTTTTTTGCGTGAGGGGGAAGGAAATGTTGTAGCGTGCGGATTGAGTTATCGCGACTGAGTCATCGCGGAAGCGCCGCCCGGCTCGTGACGTCATGTCTATGATAAAAACGCTGCGCTCAGGAATAAAGCACTTCTTGTTCGCCAGCACGCCATGGTCTACAGTCACTTCACATAGGTGTACCGTAATTTACGGTTACTGCGTCGCTGATTTCATAATGAGTCGGTAATATTTGAACACTGCACAACTCGAAGCAAAGTTTTTAACGATGGCTTATACATCAGAAAAGATGGTGGGTCGATTTCTTTATTTCTTATGTTATACTAGATGCGACAGATAAATTTTCTTTGGCGTACAACTTATGTTTGATCTTGCTATGAAGTAGGCATGACCCGGGTGAAACTAAAGGAGCTTTCATCACAAAGGTCAAGGCCACTAAAATGTATATCTACTCTCCTCACAACTATCCATTTGAATGCTAAATAAAAAAAAAAACTCTTAACATTGCAAGTACATAAAAATGGTTCCATTAGAGTAAATGTTTGTTTCATTGACTGTTTGTTTGGTTTTCGTCCTCTGTTTACAGGACATTGGCGAGGAACTCCAAAACAAATCTCAGTGTGGCACGATTGAGAATGCGGCGTTTTGAGTGAATAAGGGAGGCAAGTCCTCAAGCACATCATGCAAAACTGCATTTTGGTGCATGAACTGCAACAGATTTGACGCTCTTGGTACACGCGAACCGTGAAATAACAAGCTATTTGTTGCTGCGCTCACCTAACCATATGCAGTGCCGTCAAACTTGGTCGTTCGATCAGTGTCTTGATAGCAAGATAGTATTGGGAGTTTATTTATTATTTAGTTTGTTATTTGTTTGTTTTAAGCTCCCCACAATGAAATGTTGGCCAATATAGGGGGAGGGGATGTGTGTAAATGACGCCACAGCTAGGGTAACCACCCTCCTGCTAGCGGAATGGGGGACAGGCAAAGCGGGGGCGGGGGGGGGGGGGGGGGGGGAGGGAGGGAGGGAGGGTGAAGGGGGTAAAGGAAATTAATAAATACGGACACCATGAACCGAGGCTCTGTTAACACATTTCATATTATGTGCTCTTTATACACCTGCAAAATGTATCGCAGTAATTAAGCTAAAATAATTTTCACTAGCAGTGATATATATTGTAATGCCAAATATGTTAGTAATTGTGTCGAAGTTGAAAGCATAAAAGTCAACTGCAGCTGAACTCAAGGCATCAAATGAAATTAAGAAACTGTAAATCTTTTTTTGGAATATTGTTTCCTGTCGACGTTTACTTTTCTCAACATGGTCCTACACACATTTTTAACAATATGTTTTTTTTTACCGCTTTGATTTGCAGGCTTTTTGCCTTGTGTGGCTGTCTATTCTAAAAAAAATAATCCACAGCAAACCTTTTGCATTGGCACATTGATATGAAGATAATTAAAATAATTTATATTTAAATTTTTAGCGAGCAATTTTCTCGATAGTAACCCTGAGATGTAGGGACCTTACAATATTGTGTCTCCAAGGGGAGAGGCACAACGGCGTATGTGCGTCGGGTCTCCTGCAAGAACGACGGTCGCTTCCCGCAATGCTTGGATAGAAAATGACGTACCATTGCGATTCACACGATTACCAACGACCTCCGCCCTTCCCCGTGCCCCCTTATTGGGCAGCATCACGAGTTGCAGAGTGAATTTTATGGCAGTGTGAGATGCGGGACATTTTTGAAGATTTGGAAATTTCTGGCGGGACACGAGCCCTCAATGCGGGACAGTCCCGCGAATCGTGGGACGGGCGGTCACCCTAGCCACAGCACATCGTTGCTTGACGTATGAATTTGTTTTTTCACTTAAACCAATAATGCTAATTACTCTAAAAGTGCCATGTTTTCCGATGAAATAAATCACTGTTCTTTTTTCAGTATTTTCGAAGGTGCTTTTTATACAACGGTACAATTACAAAATAAAATATTAATGTATTTTCTTTCCTTTTTTTTTTTCTCTCAGTCAAAGTGTACATCTTTACTGGGAAAATTTGTCACGGGGGTTATTTTTCTTCTTCGAATTGATAACAAGAATACTGAAACCTGGTCTCTCTCCCGCATATATTCCGGTCATAATTCCCATGCCCGGGCTTTTTATTGCAGTTTCGCCGCGCCGACCTTACATACTTGCGACTTAGATGCCTACAAATACAGTGCATGCTTGTTTTTGTATTTCAAGCAAGTCTAATAACGATGTTCGCATCTGCCGCAGGTGAAGGACTAAAATTTCTCGGCAATACAAAGCGAAGCGATGGTCAGTTAAGACTAAATTTACGCGTGATTTACTGTAAAACATTGTGCAACTTAAAAAGAAAGAAGTGAACTTATCCTGTATAGTGTTTTGTTCATTTTCTAATAGACCACAATGTTATGTAACCTCCACTTCGTTATGATGCTAAAATATTTATGGCTTGTGTTTATAGCCCTTTTGAACCTTTGCATAACTATTTGTGTTTTTGGTTCTCAACTCCCCCTACTGTAATGCCCCATGACGCTGTAGGTATCTGAATAAATAAATAAATACTCCAATGGTGAGCATAATTTACGAGCAAAAACCAAACGGCTGACTACTTTGATTATCTGTGTTTTATTGAGCTAGTTGGTTTTGCTACCTACTCGTTGATTGGACTACTTCAAGGCAAATTTGGATCTTATTTCTAGTTAAGGCAAATATTATATTTTCAGATTAGGTAAAGCATTTATATGCTACTGCTCTAAAATACTTTTTCTTTTACAAGGGCAGGCGGTACATATAAGTAGCGCTAGGTAACTGAATGTCAAACAATATAAAATTTTAGACACATGTGAGGCCTAGAAATAAAAAAGCCTCAGAAAACAATTTATTTAACCTAATCTATTCAAATTACCAAAGACAAGTACTTTCTCTGTATATTAGCAGTTACGCGTAAAACAATACATATCCAGAAATAACTTACGATCTCTTATATCATAGAAAGGTTCGGGAAGCTCTTGCTTGTAGATTTCGCTTTCGTTCGTTTCTCGGCACTCCCCGTCAGCACAGAATCCAGAAATCATGGTAGCCGTCCAGTAAATACTTTTAAATTTAAACTAAAAATAAGGGAAATATTTTAGTTTGCAAAATTTATGCGTCTTCTTATTATGAACAAAAAGCTGGTCTATGTTGCAATCTTTGCTTTTTGAGCAGTTCACCTTCATTCTACACGAAACAGCGTTTAAATTTCAATGAAAGAAATAAGATGAAAAATTTAGTGCATATATGAGTTTTGGAACAGCTTTTTATTTCACCCCTGGTCAAGCAAGGTTTACCTATTTGGTTTCCCCACGCAACTGATATATCGATGGTAATGCAATTAAAGCAAAGGTGCAAGCGAGCTAGACAAGAATGGCAATATATATCCCCGGAGAACGGAAACAAGGGGAACAAAGGACAAACACAAACCTCAAAGCACAGCTAGGTGACGTGTGCGCGACTGAAAGAATCCTCCTGGTCCTTGTACCGAACCAGGGACCTTTCCATTTTCAACGGCAAATTGCATTATCATCATTATCTTAAAATGCAGGCCTTCCACCCTTGTTAATGCTAGACTGGTGTCAGCTGATAAAACCCGTATGCTCTACTGACACCTAACTCCCGGTTAGCTCAGTTGGTAGAGCGCTCCACTGGAAAGGGAGAGGTCCCTGGTTCGATACCAGAACCAGGCGGATTGTTTCGGTTGCGCACCAGTCACCTAACTGTGGTAGCAGATTTGTGTTTGTCTTTAGTCCCCCTTGTTTCCGTTCTCCAGGGATTATTATTGTGATGAAATGATCAAAGAAAAACTTAAAAAACGGGATGTAAGATATATACTTGACGCAATCAGGAAACACCTATTTGGATCTCATAGGTAAATATTAAAACGATAAAAGCAAAAGCACTGATAAAGGAAATAATACATTTGAATTTTTTTCTTTATGAAAATGCGTTATTTTCATTGGCGAATGGGACGGGACGCCTTTCTCAAGCACCGGTTGTTTGAAAATGAATCACGAGATCAAGTTGAGCAAATCAGGTTTAGAAATAATTTTTAGAAATGTTCTAACTTAACTAAACCGTTTATAATAAGAGTACGTTTCCAATTTTCCGCTAACGCTTTCTTCACTCATTAATTTTACTTGAACTATTAACAGTGTAGTTTCTTAGACCATATTTTCTACGTCGTGATGTCACGGAGCCGTCATGTTTTCGTCTGCCACGATCCTTGCGGTGGCACCGCGGCGGAGGTGGATGCGGCAGGCGTATATTCTCCTCTGTATCGCTGTGCAGCTTGACGGTTCACCAAAGCTTTAGCAGTTGGGAGTTGGGACGCCACGACAAGTGCAAAACGTGTCTTTGCTCCTGTTTTCTTCTTTTTTTTTTTTTCTGAATTTTTACGAAGTGTTACCAGGGTTACGACATTCCAAAGCGTGGCACGCCGGTTCGCGTAACGTCCTTTCTTGCCACTTCGGGCCCCTTTGGATGCCTGGGCAGTATAGGACGCTAAATACACCAGTGGGAGACACGTGTCAGGCAGCGTAGTGAAACAACAGAGTCAAACTCTATGAATTGAAGACGCGCTTCACGTGTCAGGTGTTACGCTGTGCTCGCTTACAGCGTTTATATGTCGCGCTCGGCAAGTTTGTGCATTTTATTGTTTTTCTGCGGTGCCACTTGGTGTTAGACTCAGTGGCGCAAGTCGCACTGACCTCCCTACCTCTCTTTTCCTAGAACGTAAAGATTTTCCCCATGAACGTAGTTGCTGATGTACAGGAGCAATGTTTCCTACCGAATCCAAAAGATAACAATTTTTACACTTTAGAAACGTCCCCGACAGGCTCAGGTTGGATGTCTTTAGTTATTGTGGTGCAGATAAAAAAGCGGCCAAAAAATATACTGCACACCTTTATATACAAAGGCTTATGAAGACGTTAACTCAGAGAATTCTGAATGAGCAAAATTAGACGAGGTGGTATAAGGTGTCAACAAAAATCATAAACTGTGGAAGTCATTCAGAAACACAATGTGTATTCAAGCGTATTCGTCATTCTCATCATTTCATTATCGAAATAAAAGGAAATTTAAAAAAAAACATGAACAAGTCCCACTTTTCAAAATAAGCAGTCCATTGAGTAAGTTTATAAATAATAACATAGTACATATATTTACGTTGAAACGATGAAAATTTTTAAATCCATAAACTTTTCAGCGACATAATTTGTTGTGGTTATTCAATGACATAAGACGTTGCAGTGAGAAAAGACGTTAGGGTTACTAAATTAAGCTGAAATAAAGTTCACACTTCAATTACTTAAGACTTAATCTGTCGCCCCACAGCTTCTAGACATGCTGTCTACCAAAGAAACCGGCAATGAAAACCACCAGAAGGGGAAAGGTTTTGCTTAAGCTGAGAGAAATATTGTTTGAATTAACCAAATCCTGGAACTTTTATTTTAACCTCGAACAGTAATGTCAACATCAGAGCCTATTTATTTCTATAAAATCTTCTAAACCTAAAACGGTCTATAAATCTTACAAATACAATTCTGATATACAAAACGTGTAAAAGAAAGTTCGTAAAGCGGTGTAATGAAATTTCAATGGGTAGAGTTACTTACAATGCACAGTGCATTTTCACTTGCACGAACCACTCTTCCGTCGCACTCTTTCTTGCATTCATATAATATTTTCACCTAAAACGGAAGTTTATATATTGTTTGTCAGAGCTGCTTTTTATGAAACATTGTAATGTTAAAGGAGAATAGAAACGAAAATTATAATATACGGAAACCTTTCCGAAATAGGTGAAACATGACCTATGATATCCGTAAATGACAATCGCACGTTCCTGGTGTGAGCGGATGGCTATATTTTTTTGTTTCACGCGTCCTATTTTCGCGAGCGCTTCGATATCGGCCATCGAGGCGTGCGATGCGTCATGGGAACTCCGTCGCAATCGTGATGTTGGGCTTCTCAGCACAACCAAAGGCTGGCGTGATTATGATCACCGCCACGGCGACGGCATTTGCGTGTTACAACCTCACGTTTTGGAGTAGCGAAGGACTGCACCACTGCACGAAGACCGTCGGTAACGTAATCACTTCGGCCCTTATAGTCCGCGGTGCGTTCTGCTATGATCTATGAACTCCAGAGGACGAGGATGTCGGCTATTAAGGAGACTCGGAAGCTGTCAACGAGGACCAGTAGTCACTCTCGCACATTTTGATGGACAGGCGACTCGGGCTAGAATCGTCCGAACCATCCGACAGACCGACCGTCCACCCGACAAAATCTGAAAGGGGTCGGGGTCGCCATGAAATGCCCTGCATTTATTAATGATTGGTCAACTCTTAGGTACGCGCTTTTAGGTGTTTTATTAACAGCGTGCTCACTTAACAGTTTGCTTCTCTTTACGTGCGGTTCGCTGAGCTGTTCTGCTTTTCTTTGCTTGGACAAAAATATTTTTGGCACAACCCCTGGTAGCATCGGAATATTCTTGATATGAAGACCCAGATTTCTGAGAACAGCGGGTCGCCTTTCATAGTACTCATTCCGCAAATGGTCACCGTACTTGTGATCGGTTTTCAGCGGCGCTCGAGCGACGACGGACGCGCGAGACGGTTCCATACGCTTCGGAATTTTTCATCGTTCGGAAACCCGGGGGTCGGCGTCTCGCAGTTTAGCACGCTGTTGCCGCAGCCCTCTGCCGCGTAATAGCGCAGCATCCTGCACGCAAACTTTATAAATAAATACAGATACAACTCGGCGGTACCAAAGCAATCGCGCGCCTTGCGAAGCACCGCGATCGCGTCATGGCGTTCAGGGCTAGGATATTTGTGCGGTGTGCTGCCGAGGGTGGCGCCACTGCGGGAGGAGAAGCACGTCACGATGCCCCAAGAAAGCTTCGACCACCCAATCACCAGGAGCGAGTAGGAAATCGTTTTATTCGTTTTAAAAATACTTTGCTTGCGTTGTCAAATGAAAGACTGATGTTTCTGAGGTGCTGATGTGACGTGGTACATACCTAAGCAATGAAATGAGCCCTTAAGTTTGTTTCCGTACTCCTTTAACTTAAACAACAGCCCACACGTGCTAGATCACACCCACAGCACGCGCTTACTCGTCGGTTTGGAAGACAAGCAAAGCACACGCGCCACGCGCATGAACGCTGAAAATAGCACCGCCGGAAAGCCCAACTCTCGAATTGTTATGTTTTATTATTTTATTTTAGGATATCGTTTTTTTGTTTTTGTTTTTTTTTTTCAGATTTATACGTAAAGCAAGTTCAGATATTTCAGTACTGACTAAAATGTATAAATCCAGATTGCCACAGATAACCTTCTTTTATTCATGCAAGAACTTGTTTTTTTAGTAGTTTGTCTATTTAAATTTCAGGTTTTTTTTATTTCTCAACGGAGGGTAAAAAATATTATTTACTAAACAAAAGCTACAATCCTGAGAGAAAGGAAACCAGTGTCTGCTGATTAAATTTCTTACCGATTATGCACTTTATATAGAGAATATGCAAATTACTATATTCAGTAGAAGTGGGCAAATTACAACCAGCATTAAAATTACTACATTCCGTAGTTTCCCATTGCCCTGCAAGTGAGCTATTTTTAGTTTGACTTAAATAAGCCATGAAAACACGGTTAAAGTGCAGGCGAGCTGGTGTAAGTTATACATTATGATTGAAAACCTGTCTCTCCCTTTTTCTTTCTACTTCACGATTTTCTGTTCTTCAAACCACAGTCTCAGGTTTTCAATCAACATGTATTAAATAAGCCATTCGTTTCACACTACTCACTTGGGTCTTGTTGAATCTGTGGTACTCTATTTCGCATCCAGTGGCAAAAACTTGTTCCATGAATGGGAACCCTGTGCAAATAACCTTTATATTTAATTGAGCTTGATTTCTTCATAAAAAATACTCTCGCACAAAGACTGATCGCTCCTTAGGTTATACCAGGGGTCCGGCCGCGGTCTTTCCAATAAAGCCCGGATCGCGGCCCGCTTCCAGCAGGTCCGCTTCTAGCCGCGAAAAATATGTACGCGTAAAGAGACGGCGTCCCGACGAGCTTCAAATGCGCAAACTAAGATACCATAAAGAACGAGAGTAACTGGATCGTAATACGGGTCCGGTCGCCAAATTATTAATTAAACATTGGCATCACTCGCATCTTAGACATTTACTTCATGTCTGTATAACGATGATAAAATTCGAATGCGTTCTCGTGTACATTGCGCTTCATGTCCTCTTTCCACAACTGCTGCAAAATGTCAGCATTAGTTTTATCAGTCCTATTAGTATTTTTCACTGCGCAAGTATGGCAAAGTTCCCATCCGCTTTGATTAATGCATGGTGAGTTTTCTTGATTACACGTGTCGTCTAATGTCATAATTAACTTAATATTAAATTTCAATTTGATGCACGAAGGAAAAATCCATCAATGTAACCCTGTTTGGCAGTCAATGTTTTCTATTGGACCGCTGACTGTGCCTGACTGTACGTCAAACATGTCTGATTGGCCAACAAGTTACTCTGACCGACAGTCAGACTCCAGTCAGACTCCACTTGTCGGCTTTCTGAGGGTTTCCTGGTGGCAGTCGGCCGCCGCGAAATGCCATCAAGATGTCTTGGTGGAGATTCTGATTGTACATCGATTGGCTCTGACTGTACGTCAAAAAGCTTTGACGTACAGACAGGTACGGTCAAAGGACGTAAAGTTCGTTCGGATACCGATGTTTCGTCAAATCTATGAATACGAAAAATAATCTATGCACAAGAAAACGATTTCGGGACGTGAGCCCATAAAACCGCTGATGTTAGAGATATGACACGCAGCCGACCGACAACCTTGATCAGAAGCCCGCCGAAACGTCGAAAAGGCCACTTCGTCGACTTCCCCGAAGGAAAAATCCATCAATGTAACCCTGTTTGGCAGTCAATGTTTTCTAGTGGACCGCTGACTGTGCCTGACTGTACGTCAAGCATGTCTGATTGGCCAACAAGTTACTCTGACCGACAGTCAAACTCCAGTCAGGCCCCGCTTGTCGGCTTTCTGATGGTTTCCTGGTGGCAGTCGGCCGCCGCGAAATGCCATCAGGATGTCTTGGTGGTGATTCTGACTGTACATCGATTGTCTCTGACTGTACGTCAGAAAGCTTTGACGTGCAGACAGACGTACGGTCAAAGGACGTAAAGTTCGTTCGGATACCACTATTTCGTCAAATCTATGAATACGAAAAGTAATCTATGCACGAGAAAACGATTTTGGGACGTGAGCCCATAAAAGCGCTGACGTTAGAGATATGACACGCAACCGACCGACAACCTTGATCAGAAGCCCGCCAAAGCGCCGAACACGACACTTCGCACTTCGCTTCGCCCATAGAGGCTTCGCCGAGCTTTCATGAACGATCGCTCTCGACTCGTTTTGTTTGCCCGCTCGCTCCAACCTGTCGATCCTGCCCGGGCTCTACAATGTCTTATGTTTTAGTAGAATTTCTACTCGACAAGACCCAGCCTGTTGTGAGTTCCGACGATGTAAGGGACTTTGGCGGTGTAGTTGAAGACGACAGGGTGTACCAGGTCTACTGGGCCGGTGATGCGCGAACAAAAGGATCGGTCTACGACGCGAAAGTACTCTACATGGCAGGTGAGTAGAACTGAAGTACGGCGAGTGATGTACGTGTGCTTTGCATAACATGCTGACAACTTAACTGCATTTGCAGCCAAAGCATTTCGTATAAAACGAATAGTCAAATCGAATTTCTCTAACGGTGGCGTAGCATAGCGATTAAGATATCCGATTTGTACGCATGTGGCCGCGGATTCGATGCGCGGTGGTGCTGCTTTTTTTTTTTTCGAACATTTTGTTTTATCGAGGCATTTGGCGATATTTATGAATGCGTATAGCTTTCCTCTTATATAAATGCTGCCCTTGTTGATGAAATTCCCTTGGCAGTAGCAGTCAGACGTCATCTGATGGACCGTCAGATGACGTCTGATGGTCCATCACGTTCCACCAACGCTGCTGACTGGCAGTCAGTGTCCCAAATTACGTAGCTTGATGGAATTTTCAATAGGGTCGCTTCGCCCATAGAGGCTTCGCCGAGCTTTCATGAACGATCGCTCGCGACTCGTTTTGTTTGCCCGCTTGCTCCAACCTGTCGATCCTGCCCCGGCTCTACAATGTCTTATGTTTTAGTAGAATTTCTACTCGACAAGACCCAGCCTGTTTTGAGTTCTGACGATGTAAGGGACTTTAGCCGTGTAGTTGAAAACGACAAGGTGTACCAGGTCTACTGGGCCGGAGACGCGCGAACAAAAGGATCGTTCTACGGCGCGAAAGTACTGTAATACCCTTGTTACACGGGCACACTTAACTGCAGTTACGCTAAGCCACAGTTAGCGCACAGTATTTGCTGACAACATTCTGCGGCTACGCACTCAAAACTATGGGCGAACGTGCGCTTGAGCATTTTGATCATCCATCGAAGCAGTGCACGCGCGCTCTTCACTTCTTATGGAATAGCTGTCCGAGAGAATAGTGCGGTATATGTGGTGCCGCGTAACAGCACTTAAGCTCAGTTAACCGCGGTTAAGTGTGCCCGTGTAACAGGGGTATAAATGGCAGGTGAGTAGAACTGAAGTACGGCGAGTGATGTACGAATGCTTTGCATAACATGCTGGAGTCTTAACTGCATTTGCAACCGAAGCATCTCGTATAAAACGACTGGTGAAATCTAGTTTCCTAAGCTATGGCGTAGCATAGGGGTTAAGGTGTCCGATCTGACGCAAGTGGTCGCTAGTTCGATCCGCGGTGGTGCTGCTTTTTTTAAACATTTTGTTTATCGAGGCATTTGGCGATATTTATGAGTGCGTATAGCTTTACTCTTATATAAATGCTGCCCTTGTTGATGAAAATCCCTTGACAGTGGCAGTCAGACGTCATCTGATGGACCATCAGATGACGTCTGATGGTCCATCACGTTCCATCAAGGCTGCTGACTGGCAGTCAGTGTCCCAAATTACGTATCTTGATGGAATTTTCAATAGGATGTACATGTATTTCTCCACTTTGAGGTTTTTTATACTTAATCTGACATTCACTTCGGTGTTTAAATGCTTATCTAGGTTTATTACAATGAAGCTGTTTATGCCTATAGACGCTTTGCAGCAGCTGTGCATGGACGCCGCCGGAACTGACCTTCAGTTTTTGTTTCCTCTTGTTTCGTTTATTTCCCTTCATCATTACCATAGCAGGCCAGGTTATTGCCATATTTGATTCAACTGTGTTCTTTTCTAAAGCATCGGCCTTTGTAGAGGATCGTTAGCTACCGTTTCAGTTGATATGGCATCTCGGTAAGACAAGAGAAGGTCAGCAATGGCGGCTGTAATTTGGCGCGTGTGTAAAGCGTCTATATATCTGTTGTTTTGGGCAGAGCCGTATATGTAGAGAGTTTGGTCAATGGGAGGCGCGGGCAGAGCCAGGGCGTGCATCAGACTCGGAAAGAGGGCTTGGCATGCTCTCTTGACCAACCAGAAGCCGAAAAGAATTCCCTAGCGGTGGTAGCGAGAAACAGCTCTGATCAAAGGTCTATGTTCGTATACGGTTCTAATAAGTGCGTAGGAGTGAAGTGGAGTAACTCTTTGTGTTTGGAAATAGGGTGCACGTGTTGCTTTGATCATGATCATGCAGAAAGATGTAAGAAACGAATGCGCTGCTCAACTCTGTTTTGCGCGGACAGAGTGTGACCGCTCGGACGGCAGATTCCCGGCCCTTGGCGCTTGGCGTACGAATTATGTCGATCGTTCCGCTAATCAACCTCTTCCACCATCATTCCGGATGAGCGTGATAGAAGCATCACGTGTACCATATTTTCAGCCATCGAGAGTTACTCCAATGCAGTTATCAGGTTTGTTTCTCGCGACCACCGCCAGTGTATTATTTCCGGCTTCTGGTTGGTCACATTCGAATTTCTGAAGACGCCCTGGAACACGTCCAGCCCGCTTTCGGCCAATGGCGCCTCCTCATTTGTCTCCTATACTTCCCAACGAATGGCCAAACTCTCTACATATACGGCTCTGGTTTTGGGGTGTGCGGGACCAAAAATCTACGCTCACACCGCACCCACGCGCCACACGTGCCGGCGTCTATAGCAGTAACTGTTCTAATGCAAAAGCCTAAAAAAGATGACATCTTGCACGCGCGTTCGTCAGCGCTTTATTTTGGCTATTTCCTTCGAATTTTTTATACCGGGAAGGCGTGCGCCTGCGGCGTGTGGAACGCCATTTCCTGCATTGTCCTTGAAGCTTGGGTTGTCATTCTCCATTTTCAATTTCACTTCTCTTCTATCGTCGTAATGGGCAGGCGGCGAATAGTCCGGAATCCCGAAGAGCAACGCGCCTACGAAGAGCAACGGCGGGAGCGGCAACGAGAACGTCAGCGGCGGCGGCGGGCAGCACGTGTGTGCGTACCTTTCGTCACGATGACCACCGGTCAAGACAATAAATGTGTTCGAACTTTTGTTTGAAATTCGGTGTCACGCCTGTGTTGTGGAATAAACAGCTCGGCTAGTCATCCATTTTCACAGAGTGGATTGGCTCCCACATTTTTTGCTTAAGTTTCTTTATGTTTTATCACTTTTTGTTCGGCCTTCCAGGCTGTGAAAGATCGTTAATCCGGCCCTTTAACCAAGAGGCTGGGAGACCCCTAGGTTAGACTATTAAATAACCAATATTTCTTCTCTACAAATACCCAAACCGGTGTTCGTTTTAGTGCATTTGAAATTACAAACGTATGCGCAAAGTAAATCTATCTACAAACTTATGCACAAGAAACATGGCACGTGTAATGCCACGCTCAATCTCCCGACGTAGATGACGATTTTTTATTAAAGTTAGTTCAATAGACCGATCCCACCAAGCGTTCCACGCATGCCTGACGCCGCCATAACTGTAGTTCGTAGGAGGCAGACGCCAGTTCACGAGTCAGCTTGTGCCGCCTCGTGCTCTACACGCGCAGACCTCCAGCAGGGCTGTTGCGCATGCAGAAAGACTACAGCACCCTAGATGCATGACGGCAGCGGTGGCGTACTCAAACTATCTGTGAGATCGGTCTAATACAAAGATTTTCTCACCTCCCTACAGACCGTTTTCTTGCGTCGGTCGGTTGCCACGGTAAAATACGTAGCTGACTTGGGCGACAAAAAGTTAAGTAGTTTGAACTTTATTAGAATAAAATGCAAAGCCAGTGATATATAAAACTATCGAAGTTCAAACACCTTGAAATATAACGTCCTCCAATCAAGAAAACAATTGATTTGGTAATATATCTGATCTCAGCTATGTCAAAATACAACATGGCGTGCGCCGTAAAAAAAAAAAAAAAAAAAAAAAAAAAACAGTTTATAAAGATTGCTGAAATCAGCAGTCAGCGCGCTCTCGGTAGTTTGTCTCTCCTAGTTTACGCTGTCGGCGCCACACATTCTCTGCTCTCGGAAAATGCAGCCTGAGATATAAGGGTGTCATTAATGACGAAGAACACTTTTATCAGCACCGAATATCCGAAGTGTTTTAGGAGGCAGATAAATTTTGTGTCACTAGACTATGCGGTCGTCGTTTACATGGCGACCCATCAGCCGATACATTCTAACAGCTAGATTGGTTGGCCATTTTTAAACCGAGTTATTTTAGTATTTGGTAAACCTTATTGAAGATATACACTCATTCCACTCAAATGTGTATTTTTCTACTGCGAGAGCAAGTAGCAGAGATTACTCCATACCGTAATACGTATAATAAATATTAGCCACTTTTTCAGCACTTCTAGAATTATCTGCCGAAAGTATTGCTTTCAATCCTCAAATTAACCTTCGGATAATAAAACGCTATCATCACAACTTTTTAATATTTTTTTTTAAGTGCACGTGAATTTAAGTATATATTCCCTACGCAGAACTGAGGTAAATTGTGTCTGAAAATTCCTTCTCTTTCCTCCAGTGTCTCAAACAAAAACATCAATGTACGACCTCATCTTTTTTATGTAAACCTTTGTCCGATGTTTGCTTTAAAAGTGATAAACGCAAAGAATGAAATGTTTGACGAGCAAGTAATCTTGTTTTAATAAAATATGTGACCATGGAATCAACTTTTTTAAACAAATAATTATTCAAAGCTGCAGCACATCTGCCACTTGATTACAGTATGTTGTTATTCCCAAACCTTTTATATGCTGAAAAGTGTAGAGTGCTTTTTCTGCAGCGGAATATTTAAATATTTAACTTTAGATATGCATTAACACTGAAGCTACGCTATTTAGGAGTTCTGGTTAGAAATTAATCTTTCGAAAATATTTAACTATACCACAAAATCATTTAATATGTCGACCAGAAATATTTCGAACAATTTTCCATGCATCGATAATTTGTGCAAGGGTAGCTTTCTCCGTAATTGTTGACGATATTGTTCTTGTTGCTATTATATCTATGAAACGGAGGAAGCATAATTCGCCGGTGATATTCGTATATCTAATGTTCTTTATGTAAACTGGAAATAAAAAAAATTACATTCTGATTACTGTCGCTAAATAGCGCATAATAACGCTCTACTTGCCTTGCTACTTAATTACTAGCTCATATTTTTCATCCTCGCCCCAGCCGCAGCTCCCTACCAATTTAATCGCTAAATTTATACACCACCCCCACACTTCACATGTCGTAGTAATTTAGGATAGGTGCATGATTTCCTAATTGAATCCTTCTAGAACCTATTTGTTTTGACGTTTTATGTGCTGTCGGCCCTTCATATAGGCCGACATGCGGCCCTGACGTTTCTTCATTGCTGTGGCGCTGATGTCGGCACGGCGCGCGTACAGACCCTTGAACCCTCCCGACAATCTGGTTTCTGCGAGCGCTCAGTGCCCACACTTGGTGTGGGCAAATAAGGACTTGTTTGTGAGCAGAGCGTTGGCCCACAGGTTCTATTTATAATATTATTATCAGTAGGTAGTAAACATCCATTATGTTTTGTTATCTTAGGAAGATACTCGTATATTACGTTCTCGACAAACCTGTCTTTAACGTGATGGATCCGAATGAGTCTTGTGCGGTGTGACAAATGTTTGTAAATATTCAGTAGATAAACTTTGCGTTCCCATGAAATCATTACAATGTTCGGCTGAGCAACCTTTGATTGTGACGGAACATTTACTATTTAAAACCCAGAATAAGCGTCAAAATATATCAAAAGTGCTCCTCGCGTACTTACCAAAAATGAGCGCCAAGGGCACCAAGATCTTGCGAAATCGATTATTCATCGAGATGGCCGTGTTCTTGAGAATTTCGGACAACGGCAAATGTACGATGTCTTATGTGCAATAGAAAGTTTTAGTTTTAAATAATTCTTGTCCGGCCCGCTCATATATCAGCGATATTTCTTTATATATAATTTTAAAAGATTTGTCAATCCCATACTGGCGTCATCGTTTTTATTGTCTTTGACCGAGGGTATTGTTAAGCTAGATTTGGCATCAAAAATAAAATTTTGCGAGGCACATCAAAATAAATAAATGTTCCTTATTTCAACAACAACTCGACTCTTGTGCAAACAACATTCTGCAAAACAAATGCGTTGTTGAGAATGCGTCACTTCGTAACCTCCCAGCTTTGAACTGAAGATTCGACAGGTAAAAAGACGAAACATAATGGTTCCTTTAAATGTATTCTTTGTTATTTTGAAACTTCTTTGGATGAGGTGAATAAACTGTACGAGAATCGTTGTTTGTAAAAACATCGGTCGTAGAAGTAAGAAAAAATCAAAATGCTTCCGCACGCTGTCACAGGTGCAATCTCTTCGCGAGTAACCATTGTGGTAACTTTCCGTTTCGTTGGCATTTGCAGGCAAAGGACCTCTTTGCTACGCAACTTTACTCTTTTTTTTTTACAATTATAGTAACTGACAGTGGTCGAATAAAGTCATATTGGCAAGAAGCAGAGCGCAATGAGATGGGAGTGCTTGACTTTGCCACTTGCACGCTCCGTATTTTATATTAAAACAGAAAAGCGGCCTCGTGCATTCGCAAGAGCAGAGAATAACACTCTTCATAAATGTCAGAATATTTTTTTTAATCTAACTTGCAAAGTGTCTCTTTTTTTTCTAGAAGACTTTTTTTTTTTTAGAGGTTCAAGGAAAAAAAGTTTGGTGCAGTGGCATTTTGAAACGAGCCTTGGGACGCCGTAGTTTCTGAAAGCTTAAGAAACGCGGGGTGCGGTATATACGAACACAAGAAAGTAATAAGCATTGAGGACGGGAGCGGAAAAAAACTTTCATTCAGCAACAACATAGAATGACACCAAATATAACCCCCCTCCCTCCCACCCAAGGTTTCAATGCTCTCGAAGGGGCAAAGGAGAAGATGGTCTATCCTTTCATGTATCCGTATCTAGTCACTATACCACGCTCGTTTTCAATGGTCCTTTTTCCAGTAACAAGCGCCGTCTGCGGAGCTGTCTTGGAACTACAAATGATGGGCAGTCTAACTTGCCTCCGCCCGTCAAAACGTATACATAGGTTGCACCTACGTGACGTGGGGTCACGTGAGTGACGTCGGCGACGTCACGCTTTTTTGGCGGCGACATCTTGGTGGCGGATTCAGCTGAGCCTCGCAGCTATCCAAGCTTTGAGGATGGTGAACTGAGCAGTTTTCGCATGGGTAATGAGAGATCGCAGAAAGAGGCAGGCTCGTCAAATAGATCTACTGCTCGATTCTTCCGAATTTCGAAGATTATCGAAGGGCCCCCAAGCCGCACGCCAATGTTGTTCCGACATTGGCCTAACATTCGCAAAAACCGGCCTCAATGCCGGACAATATTGGAAGCGCTACCCTATCCAACATTAGCCCAGTCATTGGTACCAATGTTGGGCCACTGTTCAGTCATCGTTCCAGCCAATGTCGGCCCACTCATTGGTACCGATGTTGGGCCATTGCTAAACCATGGTTCCAGCCAATGGTGGTCCCAGATTAGGAAAGACCGGCGTAATATTGGACAATACTGGAAGCGCGACCCGATCCGATGTTGGCCGTCATTGGTGTTGATTTTGGATCATCGTTGCACTCACCCAGCTGCTTGCAAGTGCACTCGCCAAGTTGTTTGCAAAAAGGAAGGTACACAGACACAGGGATTGTTTTGAAATCTCCTAAAAGTTTATTCCACACAGCCTATTCTGTAGACAAGTACAAACTAAGTAATTTGTAATATGTGAAAAGGTACTACTCAGCTGTTATACAACTGAGAAGGTTGCAAAGCAAACAACAACCGGGGTAATTCCTGGGTAGTCTCCAGTCTCCCTGGCTGAATTTTTGCCCCGAAATTCTACCGGCAATAGCCCCTCATGGGCGGTGCAATCAGTTCATCGAACGACATTTCATCGATAGATCGTTTCATCAACACGCGATGTTTCATAAAAAAACTCAAAATAGCTTCTTGTTTGTTTGTTTGTTTTGTTCTTTTGCAATGAACCACTGCAGACTTATCATGAAGCGCGCGCCGTGAAAGGGTGCGCTGGTTGCGTGAGCACGTGCCTCAGGAATACACGCGCGTTCAAATGCCGCAACGAATGTCGAGGAAACGTTGCGCCTCAGGAATACATGCGCGACGAAATGCCCCTACAGCGTGCAATTCGCGTGCCGAATGTCGATGAAACGTGAATGTCGACGAAACGTGTAATCACGAAAAGGTGGCTACGAAACGTGTTTTCGCCAAACGCAGGGAGAATAAGAAAGTCAGAGTGTTTACCTGCAGTTGTGACATTAGAAAGTTTTCGTAGATCGTGTTTTCGGGTCACGCTATTTGTAGCGGGAGCTCGCTCTGCCGCTCTGGTGCGTGCTCTGAAGCGCGCTCCCGTAGCGCTAGTGGGACTTTGAAAACAATCTACTAAAACTCCCTATTATTTCAGACAGATAATGGCAGGCGAATGTCGGTAAGACTGAAAAAATTATTCTAACTGCCTAATTCTAGAGGTTATCTGGAAGAGTACCCGTAGAAGAACGGACAATGATCACCAAGTAGGTCGCAGAGCACTTAGGTTGAAAATACTGGACTTGAAAGATGTAATCCAAGGTAGATGTCCACACGGGCACTGCAGAACCCCCTCCCTCCCCCCCCCCCCCCCCCCTCTTCCAAACCACTCAAACACAATAACTAGAAGGAAGTGATCCGTGAAGGTACGATGTAGCACACGCTGCCATTTGCCGAACCAAACACTAAACGATTCACAAGAATGTCTTCGGCTTCTTTGAAGAAATCGGTGCGGGTAGGACTTTTCGAACGATATACCATTTACCACAGAAGCGAAATCCACAGCAGGATCGCAGGCCGCATCACACGCGAAACTAGGTCCGGTCTTCGCAGGCATTCGAGGTTTGTCAACGGCTAATGCGTCATCCGTCAAACCACGTGATCACGCTTCGGCCGTTACCCGCGCACAGAGAACGGATTAAAGCGATAAAAAGTATATGGTTCATTGGTCCGGCGAGTGCGCACCGTCTTCCACGCCTTCAGCTTAGGGAGAGAGAGAAAAAGAGAGGAGTGGAAAGGAAGCAGGCCAGAACGGGGGTGCGCTTACAAAGGCTAATAATCTTCAGGGGCATCTCAACAATGAACGCAACGAGAGGATTTGTCACTTGTACCCAAGGTTGATAGTGCAGTGGATGTTATGCGTGGCCTTGGGCTTTTAGGCAGGTTCCGTGCTCTGCCTTATCACCAGCTTAGAGACTGTAACCACGTGACCCTAACCGGAGACACGATTGGCCTAAAACACGCATAGCGTCTACCCTGCTGTCAATACCGTTTGAACAGGACAGCTCTCTGAAGGCCAGCTTTTGTACTTCTAAAGAAGCTGTCCAGCCCAAAAGTGATTCTAAACGGGGCAAGTTTGAAGAAACTATGTTTTACGTCGTATAACCCACATTATAATTTAGAATAAAGAACTAAGCGCGACTATTTTTCGTGTACGATGGCCTAAAATAAATAAAAAAAAATAAATAGGAATATATATTTATATCTATTTTATCAATAAATTTAAAATTATTTGTACACTGTTAGGTTCGCGTTTTTAGACTTCAAATTTTTTTACGAAAGAGTTTCACATAAAAGACACCACGGACAGCACGTCGTCCAACTTTCAACACACGATGAATCGCCGAAGCTCGCAGACAGATGCTTGCGATGCTGCGTGAACAGTTTCTGAAGATGCTGCGTAGGGTATAGGCCGGGCGCAACGGCTTCGCGACCGTTCGAAGGGCAAAGGATTCGCGACGACAAAGTAGCGTCTTGCAAGTTCAGTAAGCTAACGGGGCTCAAAAGTCCCACGCTCACATTTCCGCAGAGCGAGCGCGGCCGGCCAGATCGAGGCGCAGTATGCTCTCGCGTCGCGATTGCTGCGTCGTTGCTCTGCCTACACTGATGACATGTCAATTGGCAGTCGAAGTAGCGCTCTCGAGACTTCATTGGAGTCCAACGGCTTTATAGCACGATGTACAAATAGGGAGAAAGACATGTCAAATGTGAGCTTCTTTACATCACCGAATTCTACCATGCACCGTAAAAAGAGAGAGAAATGTATTCAAACGCTGAATCCAGCACACAGCGAGCGTATGCCCAATGAAAACACTTCTTTTCGCGAAGACTGCAAACGCTGTTATTACAAAATTTGTAAGCTTCTTGTGATTTAAAAATAATAAAATACCACAAACATGTCATCTAGTCTGAGAAGTAATGACATTGCTTGGGCTTTTTTTAGTTGTATACTAAGGCACCGCAATGACACGGACGGCAATTTTTTTTTTCTAGGTAACTTATAGCGTCACACACAAGTGTACGACCAAAGGACTGGCACTCACGGATCTCGATACACATGTTTCGAAAAAGAAGCTACTACAGGGGCTCACGTATTACAAATGACACATCGTTTACACGTCTCGTAGGCCTTAATACACATTATTACATCACCCCTTACAAGGTGATTGGTGTGGCCGGGATCAAAGTTATTAACCATGACCTTCTTGATGTAGGCTTCTTCTTTGAAGGCCTACTGAGTTGCCTTAAAATATTTTCGGAGTTGCCTGCAGTCCTTCACAAAGTACTGATCGATGCACGCTGTGTGGACGACCGGTACCGATGCAACATCGGCACTCAATGCGTCTTGAACGGATGGACAAAGTCGGCAGTGTCGAACATTCCACAACGAACCTATGCTTTCTGCGCCGAAACGATCGAGCCGAGTAAGTCGAAGTGAACGGAGTCACGAGAGGACGCA